GATGATTTTTGAATTAATTGTCATTAATTTATTTTCAAATGCTTGTATTAATAATAAAGTAATTTAGATGTATCTTTACCATTGTACTTATCAATATATAATGACGTAATGACCAGGATGAGAGGGTGATCACCCGCACTTGCAAGGATGTCATTTTATTGAGTAATTATCCTACCAAAGAGAGTTATCTTGACAACTAAACTAATGTTAGTAAGGGTATTTTACTTCGTCTCTAAACTACAGTTGGTACGGGTAAGTTGTGTATAAAATACATATTATATTTTATTTTATAATCATTGTTTTTGTGATAAAAGTACTGATGGAGATGAACTACCTTCTCCACTGAGAGTCAAAGAACAATGCAAAGTTATCAAAGTTAAAGAATTAAAGTATTATTTTATTATTTGGATGACTCTCCTCGTGAAGTATTAGGCATAGAACTACAAAAAAATTAGCTAAAAAGTATTCAATCTAAATAATATAAGAAAAATAGTTGACAATGAGCATAATGGAGATAATTATATTCAAACAAATACTACTACTATTTATCATGGTTAGTAAAATACGTTATGGGTAAGTTGTGTATAAAACACGTACGGGTATTTTACTTCGTCTATAAACTAATATTAGTACGTCAATAGTCATAAATATATAAAAATTAATTATTTTAAATATAAATAATAGTTAAGTTAGTAATTTAATTAATTAAATACGGATATTAAACGCGTTATATCATATATGAGTTTTTTCGTATTTAGTACGGGAGTCACCAAATAAACGGGAAAAAATAAAACGACTTGACAAAAATACAGATACAGAAATTTTAAATGGATAAAATACATACAGATACATATACATGTATTAAACTGAGTATTTACTAACTATGTTATTTATAATCAAAGAAATAATATATAGACTATTTACTAACTATGTTATCAAAGAAATAATATAAGGAGCTGAACATAATTGGACCCAATTAAAGTCTGTGTATGCTCATAATTGGACCTGTTTTGCCTTTGTTAAAATTGAGTTTAATATCTAATGATGCTCTCTCAACCCTTTAAAATTGAGTTTAATGAAAATCCTTTGGAATGGAGAGCTCTCTCAACCCTTTTCCCCGACCAGGGGAGTCCGCCAGGGAGACCCTCTATCCCCTTATCTTTTTGTTCTTTGCATGGAACGTCTTTCCCACTTGATTGATGAGTGTGTGGATAGTGGGGAATGGAAACCTATTAGATTATCTCAGAATGGTCCGCCCCTCACCCATCTGTTTTTTGCGGATGATTTGTTGCTTTTTGCAGAAGCAGAGACTCGACAGATAGGGATCATCAAGCGGTGCCTGGAGGACTTCTGCTTCAGTTCAGGCCAACGTGTGAACTTCGACAAGTCGATGCTCTTCGTGTCTCCCAATGTTGCTCGCCAGAAAGCTGAAAGGCTGAGTCGCCGCTCAGGCACTCCTCTGACAGCGGACCTGGGGAAGTACCTTGGGATCCAGACGATCCACGGGCGTATCACGAAGGGGAGATACCAGTCTCTTCTCCTTCGGATTCAGAAGAAATTGGCTCCATGGAAAGCCAGACGTCTCTCCTTTGCGGCTAGACTTACTGTTGCTAAGTCAATTTCCGCTTCTTTACCTGTCTACCATATGAATACTGAGCTAATCCCGATGGGTGTTTGCAATAACATTGATAAAATTAACAGGGATTTCATCTGGGGAGATGAGGAGAACAAGAGTAAGATGCATTTAGTGGCTTGGGAGAAGATGACGCTTCCTAAGACCTCGGGAGGAGCTGGCATCAGACCCACTAGACAGGCTAATCTGGCCATGCTGGCGAAAGGTGGTTGGAGACTTCTCAAGGAGAAGGACACCCTGTGGACCCAGATCATGTATTCTAAGTACGGGCGGCAACAGAGACACCTTGACATCCTGCGACCCTCTCAGGGAAGTTCCTTTACCTGGGCAAGCTTCGCAAAGGCTGCCACCCTCCTCAAAAAGGGGTGTGCCTGGAATATCAAGAATGGTAAACACACTAAATTTTGGCTTGATCCCTGGGTTTTGCAGGTCCCCCTCAAGGAGGTAGCTATTGGCCAGTTGCCGACTGGAAGCGAGGAGATGACTGTAGCTGACTTTGTTCACGATGATGGAAGCTGGCGGATGGACTTGTTCCGATGGGCTCCTTCCTCCACCTATTTCTCAAAAGATTCTTAGCGTGGCGGTGGATAAGCTCTCCACGGAGGACGACACTCTCTTCTGGTCGGCATCCTCGGACGGAAACTTCTCGGCCCGGTCAGCCTACAACCTCAGTAAGGATCACCCGCAGGATGTGGATGAACCCCTTTGGGAGGCAATTTGGAAGCTCCCGGTCGCCGAAAGGGTGAGAAGCTTTACTTGGCTAGTCGCTTTGGGGAGGATTGTCACGAATGGTCTGCGGCACTCTAGGAAGGTAGCGGATGACCCCTCGTGCTATAGATGCAGTGGCCAGCCCGAGACGGTGCTTCATGCTTTGAGAGATTGTCCGCCTGCGAGATTCTTCTGGTCTCGAAGAGTACCTCCACCCCGACAGCACTCCTTCTTCAGCTCAACTCTCAGGGACTGGCTCCGGGAGAACATCTTTAGCCAAGACAGTATGGCCACAGGTATGGAATGGCCGGCCTTCTTCAGCACTGCTTGCTGGCTCATTTGGAAGAATAGGTCGACAGCTTGTTTTAAAGGTATGGGGGCAGCGAAAACCAAGCTTTGGCATGATGCTTGGAATGCGCCGTCCCGCCTCCCCAGCAGTAAACAGGCTCCTGCGGAGCGAGTTTTAGCGCAGGTCGGGTGGACTCCCCCACCTGAGGGATGGCTATCTCTCCATGTCGACGGTGCTTCGTCAGGGAATCCCGGCCCGGCCGGTGCGGGTGGTGTTCTCCGGGATTCGAGTGGTAGGTGGGTGAAAGGTTTTGTTGCGAATCTTGGTACGGCGACGACCGCCCTCTCAGAGCTTTGGGCCATTAACTACGGGCTCGACATCGCTTGGAAAGCTGGCTGCAGATTCCTCCAGGTGGCCTCAGACTCTCAACTGGCGATTCAGCTGATCAGTACTCGGCAGGACCCGATCCACCCCTATGCGACCTTGTTGGCAGCTATTAGAAGAAAGATTGGGAACGATTGGGTGGTACGCATAACTCATACATATCGGGAAGGGAATAGAGTCGCGGACTGGCTCTCGAAGCACAGTCTCGTCTATCCCTACGGTATGCATGAGCTTGCAGACCCACCCAATGGAGTGACCTCGATTCTCCGAGATGATTTGATTGGGACTACTTTTGAGCGGCGAGTCATTGCCTCCTCCACCCCCCCTCTGTAATCTCCTCCTGCAACTGCTTCTTTTTCTTGGTCTCGGCCTCCCTTCAAGGCAAAAAAAAAATATCTAATGATGCTGCGCGTGTAATTACCTTCTTCAGACCCAATTAAAGTCTTTGGTGATTTTATATAAATGCCCCTCCGTCGTTTGCGCAGAAGACAGGGAATTTTGAATTAATGAGGTTCTGGAGGAGAACTAGGTATGGTTTAGATGGGCTAAACCAATAAATCTGATGCATCGTACACGCTATCTGGGCCTATTTCATTTTACGGGCTTATATTGGCTTAGCCCACAGCAGCAAAAAATGACGGGGTAGAGTTCTGGCCCAGTAGCCCGTCGGTGATGGCGTGATGCAGACCTGACCACCAACAATTCCAATTCAAAACCCTAAAACCCTCGCCGAAACTCCTTATAAATCTCAACGCGGCAGAAGCTTGTAATTCATCCATCGCCGTTGCTTAGCTACACATCAATGGCTTCCGCCGCCTATAAGCCTTTGCTATCGTCTCAATTCTCTCCATCGCTTGCTTTGTTTTTTGTTTCTTTCTCGTACGAATGGGTTGTGATGGGCAAATGACGAACGAATTTGCCGAATCCATTGAGCGCCCTAATGGGTTGCTGTGATTCAGATTCTTTGAATAGGAAGATCTGATGCCTTAAAAACTTTTTCATTGCTTCCGATGTTTTTGTTCTGTTTTTTGAAGTGTAAATTGAGGAGAAAGCTAGTGATGAACGATTCTTTTTGAGACTTTACTGAATCTCTGTGTTGAAAATTTCATGAACTAGGACGGTCTGAGGCTTCTTCTCCATTTTTTTTTATGTAAAACTTCAATCTTTTTTAGGTTTTTGTTATCAAGTTGATCAGCTTTCTCTGCAATGGTGGGTTTTTTGTGGATGATGAGACAATTATATTCACAGTTATCCCTGTCTGATAAAATTCTCATGCTGATGATTCGTGATCTGACACTCGGAAAACCCCTCCCACTGCAGCTTATTTTCATTCAACTTTCAATGAATTTAACTGACTTGATTGTAGTCCCCATTAATGTTTTGAAGCTGGAAAGGGCTTCATTATGTTGTGAAATATGCAGGGCAGCAATGGAGTCAACCTTCTCGCTGGAGATTAAGCTGGCCAATGGATTGTTGTGCTTTGTAGAAGGTTTGAAATTGAAGCTTATGAAGATTCAACCTTGTTTCAGCGTTTTTTCTTTTCATTTTTATGGCTGATGCTTTGATGTAATTGCTTAATGCATGAATCACTTAATGTTACAGTTTCTTCAGCACTTGTTATTTTGATTTCCAATGGCACGTATTGTAAAGAAAATGTTTGAAATCCAGCAGCTACTTTGTTCTTACAGCACTCAATCTAAATGATGTTCATTAGGCCTTCACCGCTTAAAGTTTATACCATAAAACCAAATGAAATTGGTTGGCAATTGATTATGATAGTTAACAAAATAGTTAAAAACTAGCTTCGGTGTGTCATTTTCTAACCTGTAAAACCAACTGGTAATATTCAGTGTTACAGCTCTAATTATTCTTCAGTACTCTGCAATATGAACTTCTCAAGGTTACCCCTATTACGTAAAACAACTGGTCATTTTGTAACCTGTAAAACCAGCTGGTATTATTTATTGTTACAGATCTAGTTATTCTCCAGTACTCTGCAATATGAAATTATGCAATAGTGAGTTGCAGTAAAAAGTCTCAGAACAGTACAGTCTTTGATACTACAACAGTACAACAGATACATCATTCCAGTTACATTACTCCAACATGCCGATGGAAGGAAAAAAGAGGTACATTTACAATTGAAGCTACAATGCTACATACACTTACTCCATCTACACCATACACAACAATTTTGCAGTACAGAAGAAAACCGGCTCGAACAAAGTTGTCGGGAGGATCACCTTGCCTACTCTATTCCTCCGCTCTTATCATGCCCCCCTGCTTATTTCTTTCCCTCCACAGCATTATGATCCTAAAATTTGTGTGCCTCGGAAGGATACACACAAGAGGAGCTCACCATGCCAGAAGTAAAATTATTGTACCGGGTTAAGCTTTACTTGATCGTGATGTAGCGGTTGGTTCCATGTTTCGCCCAGTGGTTCTTGAGATCAACCGGATGAGCCAGATCATGCCCTTCAGCTGCCAGACGGCTCAGCAGCTTGCTGAATGCACTGCCGCTCATCTTCCTCCCACCGATACGAGCGTGCCTCTTGTTTGGCACTGCTGGAAGAGGGTACATCGACAGAGTGGTCGTGCAGCATGAGGACTGCCACCCTCCATTCCCCCACTTATAGCATTGCCTGAAGATTCCGGTGCATGAGCAAACCGGTGCAGGCATGGTTGAATCGTCGAATGCAATCTGGTTCAGCCCGAGGTCCGAACCTTTCCAGTTCGATATCACGAGCTGTTTATTGTTCAAATCTTCTGCATCTCCCATGCCCATATCCTGCTCTGGCTTCCACTCGTTGCTCTCCTTTTTCACCTTTGATTTCGATGAGGCCCTTTTATTGGAGCCCATCGCCTTGGTGGGGTCCTTGGGTCTTTTGCCACCGCCACGTCTGGGCTTTGCTGTGTCTGGGATGATAGAAGGCGAAGAAGTTGGAAGGGAGGGATCATTTCCTTGGATCTCGTGCATGTGGGGGAGATGCTGGGGGTGGTGAATGTGCTTCACGCCTCGGGAGATTTGGCAATTTGATGGACAGGAAGAAGACATGTTGTTGCCGTTAGGGAGAGAGTTATCCCGGTATTGGAAGTTTGCGATGGCATTGTCTCGCTCCATTAGGGCATTGTTTCTCTCGGCGATAGCTGAGTCTCGCTGAAGGAACGCCATGTCTCTCTCTGCTATAGCTGCCTTCCTCTCTGAGATGGCCATGTTTCGCTCATGGATTGCAGCATCTCGTTCAGCCATGATTGCCATGATTTGCTTCATGGTTGGCTGTTGCATCAGCCACTGCAATGAAAACAAGAGGAAACAAACAGTATTTACACTCGTTCTCAGAGTTTAATAAGGAATAATAATATAACGCACATTTGCTATTAAATACCTGACTCTGAGCTGCTTTGAACTGATCTTGTTTATGTCGTCCATTTTCACGATGTCCTCCATCATCCATTTTGACTTTAGCAGCAATGATGATCTTTGCGGATAACGAATGCAAACCAATTTGAGGAGTGGTGATGCTCAGTTATCAGACACTATATCAAAAGATAGTAAGAAAGAGTAGAAAAATAACATCAAGCTCTAAGGTACATAGAATCAACAGCTATCTACTTTTGAATAATGAGTTAACATAATTACAAGTAAAGAGAGGGAGACCAGTTCAGCACCAGAGACCAAAGTGCTGTAACATTATCGATGTTTTCAGCACACAGACAAACAATCAAGCTATATTAACAGGGAAAATGACTTCCAAACCTGTACCAATGAGCAAGGATCATCATAATATCACATTGTGATCACGCATGAAACATCAAGAAGAAAACAAAGCAAAAGACATAGAAAAAGCTTGGCGAATCTAGTCATGTCGATGCTACAACTGGGAATAAGTTTGTTTACATTTTAAACTTTGTTCACAAAATATTCTACCATCCAAATGAACTCTCACCAGTCACCATTTTCTTTCACAGTCAAGCTACATGCATCAACATTTATCAACTCCCTCACCAAATTACAGGTCTCACATCACGCACTGGACATTCAGCTTCAACTAGTAAACATGTTAGTAGCTCAGACTCAGCTTCCAAACCATTATTGCCTATTTGCCTTTCACTAGCATTACTTGTTTACAAACACATACCCAACAACTACAGCCTGAATTACAAACGAAAACCCAATGGTGATTCAACCACAAAAAGACGCACAATTGTCACTACCCATAAACCAGAACGTCTCTTCACTAACCCAGAACCCTTTAGAGTTGGAAAAAAGCCAGCAAAAGTTCCCAATCGAAGCAACACTATCGGATATACCCAAGCAGACATTCAAAAAACCCTCTAATAAAATGAACCACCAAAAATCAGACTTAGCAAAAAACCCAGGTGCGAGGAATCAATCCATCACAAAATGCAACCCCAGAAACCGGAGAAGAACAGACAAATGCCAGTGCTGATGCTTCAAGGAGGGAGAAATGGATAAGATGATCAGCGAGCTGAGAGCAGCAGCATACAGTATAAAGTTAATCTGAGATGCAGCGACTGAGAAAGCTTACAGTAGAGAGAAGATCCGACGACAGAGGGACGGAAAACCCCTAATTCCGGTGAAGAAGAAGCAAGACGGAGCAAAATCCGTGCGGGTTGGGAATGAAGTCAAGAACAGTAGAAGAGCCAAAGAGAGAAGGTCGAGGACAGGAGGAGGGGTGAAAGCTTTGGAGTTTTTTTCTTTTTATATTTCATTTTATTTTATTTGCGAGTGGTTTCTTAGTTATTTGTTTATTTATCCTTCGTTATCAAATAAAAAAAAATTATTTATCCTTCTTTTCCTTTGGAAATATTAATTTGTCTTCTTTCTTTCTCTCATAATCTCTTTTCATTTTTGACCTGCGCGTCTTTTGTCATATCTTCTCATCTTAATTAATTATTGTATATTTTGATTTTGATTTAACTCACTAATGCGATTATGGAATCAGATTGTTTGATTTGATTCAAAAGCTAAACATAGACTCTCATTCTTAAGGAGTACCGGACAATTGGCAATATATATGTACTCATACTCGATAATTCGGAGAGTTTTCATTGTTAAGTGACGTGCGTATAGTACTACTAAAAAATCTAGACAATGCGTGTATATACAGATTATGTATAAGAATTTTCAAATAATGAAAACATTACAATTACTCATGTTTCAATTTTTGGAAAAAAGTTATAGAAAATACGCTTGAATTATTTAAAAAAAAATTCATTAATATTCAGGTAAATATAAATATATTTTCATGAATATTCAAAGAAAATACACATATTATTTTATGAATATTCAAGGAAAATATATAAAGTAGGTTATTCAACTAACAAATGTATAGCAGGTTACACACAAGAATTGTGCAGATAAAACAAAATCTAGGCCCATTTTCTCATTTGAGGCCTTCTTGTAAGCCCATACTTGGCTAGCCCAGTCCATGAAACAATAAGACTCAGGCTCGAATGAAACAGAAAAACGGACCCCGCGAATATTCCAACGGGCTCAACGCGTGGCCCCCCGTTTAGTAAACGAATGGCTGAACAATCCGCACACGTCACCGTCAAACCTCCCCGTACAAATTCCTTTTACCGTTCCACACGGAGCAAGGACTAAAACCAGGACCCTTTCTATCGTCGCCGTTCTCTCTCAAATTCCCACTTGCCCTCTTTCACCCATTACCCGCGCCGCCGTCAGAAAATGGACGAATCGCCGCCGGCCAGCCCGGTACCACTGATTCTCAACCTCGTCACCTCTATGTTCATCTACGCCGACAGATCCCTCCTCCAATTGGCCGACAAGTACAAGCTCCTCGAGCTGCTCCGGTACGTCGTCGTGACTTCCTTCCTCTTCCTCCTCCGCTTGATTCCCTCGATGTTTCCTTCTTTCGATTCGTTCGTCCCTTTCTCCGAAGCTCGCCCGCTCAAAGCCTCGCCGAAGAAGGAGATTTCGAATTACCACCAGCCTTGCCTACCTTCCTCCGCCGCCGCCGCAGCCGGTTGCGATTCGAGCATCGCTCGGGCGCTGTCGCAGCTGCTGGCTATCGCGAACGAAATCCCGGTGAGCTCGCGGAAGTACGAGATAGTCCGGTCCCTGGCGGAGAAGATGATCGACGACAATCATCGAGAGAACGTCGAAGCCCTCCACGAGATCAATCGCACGGTTCTATCGGCGGCGTTTTCGAGGTCGCTCGCACAGCTCGGAGCCGCCATGGGTGAATTAGGGTTGGATAGGAGCGGAAATGGCGGAGCCGGCCAGGCTGTCATGTACAAATTGAACCGGGCGCTGAAAGCGGTTCGTTCGGTTGGGGATGGGAGCTGGGGTCGTACCGGTTACGCCAACCGGTCCAATTGCTCTGCCGAGAAACTAGCTGCCGAGCTCCTCTGGCTAGCACAGAAGCTGGCGGCTTGTGGGTGCGTGGAGGAGGCCGTTTGGAGGTGGGCAATGGCTTCCAAGGTCGCTTGGCTAGCCCTTTCGGCCGAGCCACGACTGCAGGGCTCGTTGGTCAAAGTCTCAGGTAACCCTTGTTGCTCAAACTCCATCGTTCATTAGTCCAATTTTTGTGCGGCTCATTGTAGCTTTAACTCGTAGAATGAATGTGACTCAGAAGAAAGAAGAAAGAAATGGTTAATTCATTGTTCAGAATGTACAATTCAGTTGGGAACATTGAACATTGCTAGCTAGATATTGTTCAAACAGATTGAGTATCGATGAGCGATGCCCCTGATTCTAATTCTTGTTGTTTGGCTTGATTGGCATTCGGCAGCATTCCTGTTCAAGCACGCCAAGGACTTGGGGCTGTACGAGATCGAGGAGAGCAAGAAGGTGCAGTGGCGTCGTACGAAGCTGGAGATGCTGACCTCGTGGCTGCCGCTGTTGTGCAGAGCCACCACAGCCGGGGTGGATGTTCCTGTACTCGGTACTGGGGAGCGTGCCGATTTGGAGAAGGTGATGGAAGAGATGCTGGAGATGCTGGAGCAGGAGGAGAAGGAAGCAGTGCTGTTTCTCTGGCTGCAGCATTTCTCGTACGCGCCGTCTTCGGATTGGCCTAACCTCCATGACTCATACTCGAGATGGTGCAATGCTTCTCGTCGGCTCTTGGTCCTCCAGTGATAAAGGAATTGCAGACTGCGGTATTGTTTACGACATTGTTATAGTTCCACTACTTGTACAGTAGTAATAATTATATAGATACCACATATATTTATATATCAATAGGTCGCCAGAATTACGTTGTTATGAATATTAATTTCTGTCATCGATCAAGGTACATTCTGGATTCGTGCAATGATGTAGAATAAAGTTCAATTTCTGAAAGTGGGACAATGAACATATATGCCTGAGATTAGTAAACCAACCTCAACAGTATATAGGTAAGACAATCCTATCTTAAGGGACGGGGTATTTGCAACATACGTTCGATGCTATCCTAGTTCTTGAATGGTCGATAAATTTATGGAGCGAGTGATTCGGATTATAAATCAATGATTTTATACCCTACCCTGAATTCGGATATATCGTCATTTGGTTGTGTTGCTTTCCTTTGACAAAGAATCAAGACTTGAGATCTGGTTTTACACCATCGTAACAATGAACACGATTCCTGTAGAATGCTTATGATTGTAGTGATTAGTGAGGACGTGTGATCTGAAATCGAATTAGGGTTAGAGATGAATAATAGGATTTGGGAATTTGATTTGAGCAGGAGAGAGTTGAGGAGGATGTCTCGACAGGTGATGACGGAAGAGTCAATCTTTTAGTCTCGAGGCCTCAACACTCCTTTGGGCTCACAAGGGCCAAATGGGCCGAAAGACCAACAACTAAAAGCAATGGGCTGAAGATCAATTAGGCCCTGATCATCATAACCATAAACGGTTTTGTTCTTCACTGAAGAACAGAAATTGCAGAATGGAGAGAGCAGCAAAGAATCAAGACAGAGGAAAGGGCAGAGAGGAACACACGATCTTTTTAACGAGGTTCACCCTTGTGCAATGGTTAATTCCTCGTCCCAGGATCACAGATCCCAGTAGACTCTATTTATGATTTTTAATCAAAGGAACACAATTACAAAGACTCTAATGAACAAATAGATAAATCGAAAAACTCCCTGAATCACCACCCGACTCAGTTCAGCCACCACAGTATAGAACCTCTTCCCCTACACTGTTCACCCTTATGTAACTCAAAGCACAAACCTATACCTCTTGCTTTGTTTTCCACAAAAGTACCTTCAAACCTGAAAATCTCAAGCTATATATAGATGAAGAACTAGCCGTTGGAGAGGATCAAGAAGATTAGCTTAAATTATGCACTTTCCCTCTTTGAGCAATCCTGCAACGGTCTTGGAAGATTGACAAATCAGACTTACCATTTCAACAATCTCTCCCTAAGTCTGATATTGTCGATTGCTACAAGAACCTGCAAAAAGAACATCCAGAGAGCAGCAAGCAAACTACCACTACCAGGAGCAGATCAGCGAAGATAGGAAACAATAAACCATCATTCAGACAAAAAACATCCACCAAGCAGAGCTCTCCCTGAGAGCAAGCAATCCAGCAGAACATCATTCAGACATAAAAAACCACCAAGCACAGCTCTCCCTGAGAGCAAGCAATCCAGCAAAACAATACTCTCCCTGAGAAAAACAATGAAAACTAAAATACTAAGACCATAAAACTCTCCACTCACGACCCGACCACTGCTAATCAATCAGCCTCACTAGACAAGGAATCTTCAAGAGGAGCAACAACAGGGGAGTAAGAGAAATGACTGGGGGCATCCGAATCAGATCCATAAAGCTCCTGAATAGCAGCAGCAAAAGGTTCAAGAGGAGCATCACCATCGACAGAATCATCAGAGTCCGATGAGTCTGAGTCACTAATCCAAATCAGGTTCACCTCTCCCTCAATCGCAATATCCATATCATCAAGAATCATGTCCACAGTCAACCAGAGAGTGGGGGACTCAAATCGGTAGGAATTGAGGTTGATGGGAAGAGCCAGCAGCAAACGAGTGATCAAGGTACCAAAAGGCAGAGGGGCAGGATGATTGTGATCAATGAAAGGAATAACAGCCCCAAAGAACAAATGAGAATAATCAAAGGGTACCTCCGCAACAGCATGCGCCATAATCCAGAGATCCAAAGGAAGGACACGATCAAGCCTAGTGGAACGAGGAACAAACACTCGAGTGATGCAGAAGTGAAATACTCGCATGGAAGGAAGGAGAATCGCCACTGGTAGAGTCGAATCTTCATCAGGAAGATGTCCAGTCAACTGAACAGCTTCTTCAGCAATGTTGAAGTTGAAAAAAGGAAGCTCAGATTCGTGAGCAAGGTTTTCTCCAATCGCAGGGAAGCCAAGAAGACGACCAATATCATCAGCAGAGAGAGTCATCAGATAACCAAAGACCAGGGACGTAAGAGTTTGAGATTGCAGCCCAAAGTACCGGAGGTTTGAGAAGAAGTAGCGAACTGCCTCAGGACAAATCAAGGCAGGATGATTCTCAAGAAGAAAATCCCAGCTAAGGTTACGTACCCAATGACGAACTTCCAGACCATGAACATCAAGACCAGGGAAGGGAACAAGGAAGGCAGGGGAAATAGGACGCTGAGCAAAAGATTGAGAATGACGGTGATAGTTGAGGTAAAGGGGATCATGAAAGAAGGTTCCAGAGTAGGTGAGAGCAAAGGAGTAGGCCATGATAGGGAGGACTCACAAACACTCAACAAGACACACACGCAGGAAATACAGAGATACTGACAGAGACACTCAAATAAATAGACTCACAGCAGGCAGACAGAAAGGAAAGAACGCAATAAAACAGGAACAATAACCACAGGAGCAGAAGGAAACAAATAAGGAAACTAAAACGGCAAAAAAACAGAAAGAAAGATAAACAGAAAAAGAAAGATACGATACCATTAAGGTATCGAAAAATTCGAGATGGATTGACCAGATCGCAATCCAATTTCATGACAAAGGAAAGTGAATCGATCAGTCTCCAAAGGTTTGGTGAACAAGTCTGCAAGTTGATATTCAGTATGATGTGATGAAGAGCAATGCAGCCTGTTTGAACCAGCTCACGAATAAAATGATATTTTATATCTATATGTTTTGTTCGTGAGTGATGAACAGGGTTTTTAGAAATGCAAATTGCGCTCGTGTTGTCACAAAACAGAGGGATAGTTGGAATAACAAGACCATAATCCGAAAGTTGATTCTTAAGCCAAAGCAATTGAGTACATGTGCTGCCAGCAACAATGTATTCTGCTTCCGCTGTTGAAAGAGCAACAGTGGCTTGTTTTTTACATGACCAAGACACAAGAGAAGTTCCAACAAATTGGCAACTGCCTGAAGTACTGTGTCTGTCAATAAGACTGACAGCAAAATCAGAATCACTATATCCTACAAGATCAAAGTTCTCATTCTTGGGATACCACAGTCCTATATCAGAAGTGCCCTTGAGATATCTAAATATGCGTTTAACAGCACTTAAATGGCTTTCCTTAGGATTGCCTTGAAATCGAGCACATAAGCATACACTCTGTTGTATGTCAGGTCGACTTGCTGTTAGGTACAAAAGTGAACCAATCATACCCAGAAATTTAGATTCATCGACTGAGGAACCAACCTCATCTTTGTCTAGTTTGACAGTAGTTGCCATGGGAGTAGGAGAAGGATTCACAGACTGGAGATCAAACTTAGTCAGCATGCTAGAGATATACTTAGATTGAGAAATGAAAGTTCCATGAGAGGTCTGTTTAATTTGGAGTATGAGAAAGTATTGCAACTCTCCCATCATGCTCATTTCAAACACTTGTTTCATGGAATCACAGAATTGAGCACATAAATTGGAGTTCGTGGATCCAAACACAATATCATCCACATATATCTGAACAAGCAAAAGATCATTAGTCTCTCGTTTGGTAAATAGGGTTTTATCAACTGACCCTTGTTTGAAACCCTGATCTTTAAGAAAAGCAGTTAAACGTTCATACCAGGCACGAGGTGCCTGTTTAAGACCGTATAATGCCTTTCTTAATTTAAAGACATGGTCAGGATAAAGATGATTAACAAAACCAGGTGGCTGAGAGACATAGACTTCCTCATGAATTTCCCCATTCAAGAAGGCACTTTTGACGTCCATTTGAAACAGGGGAAAGTTCATATGACAGGCATAAGCACATAACAACCTAATAAACTCCAAACGTGCTACAGGAGCAAACGTTTCGTCATAGTCTATACCTTCTTCTTGACTATAACCTTGGGCAACTAACCTAGCTTTATTACGAATAATAAGACCTTCTTCATTGGTCTTATTTCTAAAGATCCATTTAGTTCCAATAACAGACTGATTTAAAGGACGTGGAACCAAATCCCATACATGAAGATACTAAAACTGAGTTAATTCTTCTTGCATGGCAAGTAACCATTTTTCATCTTTTAATGCTTCTTTGTAATTCCTAGGTTCATACTGTGAAACAAATGCATACTGCCCAGGGGTATACTTACCTCGAGTTCTCAGCTTGTCATTGAGATCACCAATCACTTGATGAGTAGGATGGCGCTTTTGTATGTGAGGTGGTGCTGAAGGTTTACTAGATGAGGCATCAGTTTGTGTATCTCCTTTTGCACTCTCAGAGGATTCAGTAGTGATAGGATTTGACTCTGCCTCCTGTCTTTCACTGTGAGCATTCCTGGTCAGCTCTAACATGTCATAGATAGGTATATCCTGTTCAGAGATCTCAAGATTTGAGTTAGTTTCATTAAACACAATATGAACAGATTCTTCAAGCTTCTTAGTACGATTATTATAGACATGATAAGCTTGACCTTTTATGGAATATCCTAGAAAGATACCCTTGTCAGATTTGGCATCAAATTTGCCTAGATGATCCTTTGTGTTAAGAATAAAACAAGGGCATCCAAAAGGATGAAGATAAGACAGATTAGGATTTTTATTTTTCATAATCTCATAGGGTGTTTTATCAATCCCTTTTCGAATTAGAACTCTATTGAGAACATAGCAAGCTGTACTAACTGCCTCTGCCCAAAAGTATATAGGCAGATTAAATTCCAATAGCATAGTTCGAGCACATTCTATAATAGTTCTATTTTTCCTCTCAACCACTCCATTTTGTTGTGGAGTTCGAGGGGCTGAAAAAGTATGAGTTATCCCAGATTCACTGCACAGAACCTCAAACTCCTCTGAAACAAACTCTCCACCATTGTCACTTTTAATGGTTTTGATCTGACCATTATATAGTTTGACAAAAGTTTTGAATTTATTCAATGCTTCATCCTTATGAGAAAGAAAATAAACCCATGAATACCTAGAGTAGTCATCAACAAGCACCAGGACATAATTCTTTCCACCTAAAC